TGAGATGACATGGCTATTCACCCGTGACCTGTCTCAAAAGGGTTAATATGTTAGAGTGAAACTAACATTAAAAAAAAGATAAGAAAAATAATTCTATTCCATCAAAGCATGGTTCTAAAGTAATTGAATCAGCCTGAGTGCACTTTGACAAAAAGGAACAGAGGATATTTAGAACATACGCTTACTAATTTAAAAGTTATAGCACGAAAACTATAACAAGCACAAAAGGGTTACGAGATCGGTCATATGGACCAAGCCCATGCTGAATGAGTTAACAAAAAATCATACTTTGTTTAGAAGTAAAATATTAAAAGAAAGAAGTAAGTTTGGATTTAAGTTTGACAATGGTCACTGATAACAAAAGTATATGCTGTAATGAAAACATTTGGATAGAAAACATTTGAATACTAAGCTTCCAGATAACAGGTTTATTGTTAAGTAGCAATGTCACTGTTACTTTTCTGAAAGATGAGCTAGAAGTAAAATAGCAGTTTTAAGGTTGCTGTTCATCTTTGCTTAGGCTGTGTCATGAGATGTGTGTATGCATAATTAATGGAAAATTTCATAATACTTGATTCAAAGAAAGTTTAGACAGAGAAGATTGTACTTGATTGGAAATTTCTGTGTTACTGTGTGCCTTTGACGTTTTTTGGATGATGTTTCTCAGCAGGTCATTCTTACGACAATTATTATTATATGTTTTATGTCATAATTTTTAAGTGCTTTACTGTTGTGTATTTTCTTCATTGACAGTAAAATACTTCAGCAATTTATTGATATTTTTCTGTATTTTTAAATGTCGTGTTCTAGTGCTTTATATTTAAAATGTTCACTTCAGCCCAGTGCTTGAGATGAGTTGAGAAGTGCTTATTTGTTAAGTATTATCAGAGTGAAGTTTTGTAAAGAATTGTAAATATGAAATTCCAAACATAATACTGCAATTAATTCATGTACTTCCTTTTTTTCTCTTTGCTAATAGTTAGCATGCTTTGTAGGGTTTGTGATTAGCATCCCATTACCACAAAAAACTGAATGGGCCATGTGTGCACTATAAGAGTGATTGTCAAATTCCATTACTTGAATAGAGTTGTCCAAGTCTTGGCAATAGGTGTTTTTCAAAATCAGGTACAGCTGTGTGCAGAAATCTTTTTGTGTGGGTTTTTGCAAAATTTTTGAAACAAATTAAACTCTTCTGTATCTGAAATAGTAATCATTGTTTTTTGTAACATTTTTCCAATAAAGCCTACAGTACTTGTGCATATGCCTCAAGCAAAATTTAATAGACTGTGGGTGAAAAGTCCTCAGCATGAGTTTCTACAGGACTTTCACTTTGCATTATCACAGCTGAATGTATCCTTAAAACAAGGCCATCTGAGGTAGAAAGTATTCATATTATGTTGCATCTCCATGGTGCATCAATATTTCTTGTGGGAGTTTTGTCAAGTTAAAAATTCTGCCTTAGAAATGTAAATATGTAATTTTTTAATTTGAGGAAGAAAATAAGAAATTGCCAAAGTTCATTATCAGAAAAAAAGAGAACAGACTAATCTGAGAAAAATGTTTCATTGTAATGAAACTGAAGCTAGGCATTTAAACTAAAACCATTCACATTTGTAGCAAGAATTACATTTATTTTTACTGGGCTATTTTCTTCATTTGTCAAAGGACATTGGATTAAAATCTAAATTAGAATTAGTTTCTCATGCTGGAAAGTATATAAAGAAGATGTATTATTCCAAACAGTTATTATTATTATTGAATAAAAGTGAGTTGCAGTTAAATCTAGTCATGTTTTGGTGTCACAGTCTTCAAAAAGAGTATTTTTTGTACTTAAACATACTTTCTGGTACTGTCAAGTTTGCTTTTATTATATTGTTGTAACTTTTTATATAAAGTAAACAAAAAGTGAGGAAGTGTGAATGTGCTGTACATTGGATGTAATGTATTATAAGAAACTGTGTGGACATGGAAATGATTTCTAACTTCTAGAGAAGGCCAAGAAAAGACCTCAAATTTAAAAAAAAATTCTGTTGTTTGGAATTAAAAAAGGAAGAATGTTGAAGTTCTAGTGTAATGTTCTGATCATCTGATTGGCAGCTATTAGTACTATTAGATCAGATTTACTTTCAAGAATTGTTTTATCGTGTATCTCTAATAGTACTAATAGCTGCCAATCAGATGATCAGCTAAAAAATTACTAGTAACATTGTTGACCAAGATTCAGATTTACTTTCAAGAATTGTTTTATCATGTATCTTGGTCAACAATGTTACTAGTAATTTTTTAGCTGATCATCTGATTGACAGCTATTAGTACTATTAGATCAGATTTACTTTCAAGAATTGTTTTATCACGTATCTTGGTCAACAATGTTACTAGTAATTTTTTAGCTGATCATCTGATTGGCAACTATTAGTACTATTAGATCAGATTTACTTTCAAGAATTGTTTTATCACGTATCTTGGTCAACAATGTTACTAGTAATTTTTTACCTGATCATCTGATTGGGAGCTATTAGTACTTTGTTAACAAGAGATCAGATTTACTTTCAAGAATTGTTTTGTCATGTATCTTGGTCAACAATGCTACTAGTAATTTTTTAGCTATAGTTTTATCATATTTACAAAAATGACTAACAGTGTGTTTCTAAGTTATTTATCATTCACTGTAATAGAAAATTTTAATGTAAAGAAAAATTTCAATTCTTCTATTAAAAGTATAGCTGCAAATTCAAATAGTTAACAGCTCTAATGTCATCCATATGTATAGGTTTTTTTGTGGCCTATAGAATAAATATCCAGTGTCTTCTCAAGCCTGTTGTGAAACATTACATTTCAAGAAACAAATACAAGTATGGTACATCATGTTAAGCAAACATGACTGAGTTATTCCTTCTAACCCATTTTTTTCATTATAGGATTGTCTAATTTTGAATATCACATTTGGATTAAAGAAGCCCTCTTAACAAAAAGTTCAGCTTCCAACCTACTTTGCTAGCTCAACCAAACGGTTGCTAATAAAATAAAACTGAAATACTTCTGATTATGTTTTTGAGATCTACAGTTATTTGCTGATGATCTAGTGCAGCAGCCAAAACAATAAAAAACCTAAACATTCTAGTTACTTGCTGGCTTTGGAATTTTTTAGATACTAAAATAGGTTTTAAATAGTAAAATATATTTCTTGATTAGGTTCTAATCTCATATTGTTAAATATTTTAAATCCCAAAAGTTTTCATTTGTTTTTATTCATTTCTTTCAGGTGAGAAACCTGTGCTATATGGTGAGTAGGAGAGAAAAGCTTTTCCGTTCTTGGCTGAAACTAAGAGAGGAAATATTCCAAACCCAAGCCAAAACTTTAGCCAACAAGTCTCTCAAACTGACAAACCAAGATATTGAAGCTGTGATGTTAGCTAATCGAGGATCATCTGTCTATGATAAGATTTATTCAAGGGATAGAGAATTAGCACCTCACACTTTAGCTGTGTTAGCAAAACTCAATCCTGTAGAGTACACATATGTTGAAAAAGTTGAAAAGAAGAAAAAGGAAAAGCCCTCTTTCCAGAGGCTTCCCAACCCATATGCAAAACAGTACATCAATGGTACCCATGCTCGATCAAAGAGGAGATTGTCTTCAGTGCTAAATGGAAGTAAAAATCTTGAGAAATCTTCTGAGTCTGCCTTTTTTGCCTCTAAGATGCAAGATGATATGAAAATGGATATGGATGCTACTTATCAATCAGTTGATTTCAAAGAATTACCTGAAACTTCAGAAGTTAAAATGGCTACTGTGGATACAAGCTTATTTGTTGATAAATCTTTCTCATTGTCTTCGGAAAGTATCAAAGTATCAGGTGAAAATGCTTGCAGAGGACTTGGTGATGATTTAGAATTAAAAATCTGTAAAAAGAAGTTGTGTTGTGATTTAGTGGAAGGAAATGATGAAAAGGAATCAGATGACATGTTGAATATGAATAATAATAAAAAATGTGGTGGTGAGACTGAGTTGGAAGACAAGGAATGCAATGGTGAGGTAGAGGTGAACATTGGTGAAAAGAAATTGGATGGTGAACCAGAGGTGACATGTATTAAAAAACATTTGGATTGTGGGGTTGAGATGAAGATTAATAAAGAAATTAATGATGAGATAAAAGTTGATAAAAAAGAGTTTGGTGGTGGGACAGAGGTGGTTATTGAAAAAGATACTGTTAGTGAGCCAGTTGTGAAGGTTAGTAAAAGAGGGTTGGCTGGTGAGACTGAAGTAGAGACTAGTAAAGGGGAATTATGTGATAAGACTGAAGTAAAGGCTGATAAAAAGGAATTGGGTAATGGAGCTGAAGTAAAGGTTGGTAAAGAGGAATTGGGTAATGAGGCTGCAGTAATGACTAGTAAAGGAGAATTGAATGGTCAGAAAGAAGTAAAAGTTAATAAAGGGGAATTTTATAGTGAGGCTAAAGTAAAGGCCACTAAAGGGGAGTTGGATAGTAAGGCTAAAGTAAAGGCTGGTAAAGAAGAATTGAGTAGTGAAGCTAAAGTAAATGCTAGTAAATTGGAATTGGATAGTAAGGCTAAAGTAAATGCTAGTAAAGGGGAATTGGATAGTGAAGCTAAAGTAAAGGCTACTAAAGGGGAATTGGATAGTGAGGCTAAAGTAAAGGCTAGTAAAGGAGACTTGAGTAATGAGGCTAATGTAAAGGCTAGTAAAGGAGAATTGAGTAATGAGGCTAATGTAAAGGCTAGTAAAGGAGAATTGAGTAATGAGGCAAATGTAAAGGCTAATAAAGAGGAATTGAGTAGTGAGGCTAAAGTAATGACTAGAATTGGGGAATTGAGTAGTGAGGCTAAAGTAAAGGCTAGTAAAGGGGAATTGGTTAGTGAGGCTAAAGTAATGACTAGCATAGGGGAATTGAGTAGTGAGGCTAAAATAAAAGCTAGTAAAGGGGAATTGGGTAGTGGGGTTAATGTAAAGGGTAGGGAATTGGGTAATGAGGTTAATGTAAAGGCTAGTAAAGAGGAATTGGGTAATGAGGCTAATGTAAAAGTTAGTAATGGGGAATTTGAAAGTGAGGCAGTGATGAAAGGCAGCAGAAAGAAATTTACTAGTGGTGCTGGGGCAAAGGTTTCTGTCAGAGAATCAGTTAATATACCTCAGAAGGAAGTATCTTTGAATAAATCAGATGGAAAGTCAGAAGTGTTGGCCACTACAAAACAGTCAGGTGGAGATGTGGAACCCTGTTCTATGGAAAATAAAAGTGAAACACTTGCTTCAAACACAAACATAGAAGGACTAGGAGAGAGAGAGAGAGTCAGTAAATCAGTATCAGAGTTAGGTTCTTTTAAAGTAAACCACGTAGGAAAATTAGTTGACGACTTACCTGTGATAGAAAACATTAAAGACACTAAAAGTGATATTGGAAATGTGAAATATATCAACAGATCTTTTTCTTCAGATATGTTAAAGGAGGTTGATGTAACATTGGAAAGAACTGATCAATTTTTAAAAACGCCACCTCCATTATCCAAAGGTCCAGAAAAATCTCTACTAGGTTTGACAAATTCACAGAAATCCCCAGTTTTATCAAAAACCTCAAAAAGAGATGATAAATTACTCATACATAAACAGTCTAGTTTAGATAATTCATCCAGTAACGAAAGACTAAGAGAAGAAAGTACAAAAATTTGTGAATCCATCTTTGTAAACTCAACTGCTTCTAAGGGTTCATTAAGTGGGTATCGAATCCCCAAGAAATCTAAATCAGGAAACAAAAACACCACCTCAGAGAATGTAAGAGGAAACTCTCCTATTTCACCCCTTTCAGAAGTTTCCTCTTTAAAAAGAGAGACTTTTTCAGCCAGCGATGGTTATAAAAAATTCAGAACTTCAAGAAACTGGAAGAATAGTCGGGAGTTTAATAGCCACTCTGTACTGTTGAATGGTGAAAACCAAAGCCAATCAAAGAGGCTAGTCATCAAGTTACGCAAGGATCCAAACTTTCCTGACTCTCACCGGTGGAAAAGAGACCCCACTTTTGGAGAAGGTGCTGGTGCCTTTAAAGTTGTACAAAATGATTGGCAATCACCACCCAAAAAAACTGATCACAACCTACGTTCAGACAGAAGAATTCAGCTTTCTGATCCAACATGGGTGGCCTCAAAAGACTGTGGTAGTAAAGAAAATGGTACAAATAGTAGGTATTCAATGAGGTTTCGAACCAATTCGAACATGTGTAAACCAGACACAGGAGTAAGCTAGCACAGACTATTTTCTGATGCTAACTGAAAATCAGTGAGAACTTTTACAAGCACAAGATTATATAAAAACTTATCACTTATATTTTCCAAATATTTGCATTTGTAAAATCTTGCATTATTTTAAATCATCTGTAAATATATTTTAAACTTCATCCTATTTGATTGAAAAGTAAAATGAAAAACAAAAAAAAAATTTTTATGAATATTGTATATTTCAAAAGTTGATAGCTGTAAAGAGGTTTTCTAATACAATGTGTATATTTTCCATTTTGTTACAGTTGCTTTTCAGTTTTTTAAGTGCAAAGGTCAAGTGCACTAGATTACGTTGTTTTTTAAGTTGATAAATGAAATGTTTGCTTAATCAGAAATTGTTTCATATGTTTTTTAATGAACCGTGACACGAGTAATGCAGTCTACTGTCCTTTGATAAGTAAGTATTATAATAAACATTAAAAGAATAGTTTATAGCAATATCTATTAGATTTAGGGTTTTTGTTTAGCCTAATATCTTTCTGTGATTATGCTCAGATGTAACTTAATTTTTTAAAACTAGTGATTGTATGTCAGATTAAGTGACATAGGTTTTTTTTCACAGATTTTGATAAAATTTTTTATTTGGTACTAAGAAGATCAAGACTAAAAAATGACTGTTGTAGATATTCCAGTGTTAACCAATTAGTAATAGTTAAGGATACAAAATATTCAGGGTGTTGGAAGCCAAACAATCAGTTAAACATTACATTAAACTTTTGTTTAGAGTTGTTCTTGGGGGGAGGGATTTTACATTAGCAAAATATGATTAAGTCTGATGTGTTTGTGTATATGTTAGTCTGGGCTTCATATGGTTGAAACTGGAATTTTGAATTCAATGTCAGTATCCACTATGCACTTTGATTACCACATATCCCTGTACAATGTCAGTATCCACTATGCACTTTGATTACCACATATTCCTGTACAATGTCCGTATCCACTATGCACTTTGATTACCACATATCCCTGTACAATGTCAGTATCCACTATGCACTTTGATTACCACATATCCCTGTACAATGTCAGTATCCACTATGCACTCTGATTACCACATATTCCTGTACAATGTCCGTATCCACTATGCACTTTGATTACCACATATCCCTGTACAATGCTAGTTCTGCCAAAAGTTTCCCTCCACTCACACATATATATGTGTGTGTTGACTAAACTAGTGTCATGGATCGTTGTATTAAAAGAGAAAATTGTATTTTATTTACATATTTGGTAATATATACTATGTATATACAGACTACTGCTAAAGAGAAGGGTTTTAGATGATCGAGAGATATAATGTAAGTTTAAAGGAAATTCTAATAAACGTAGAATTTGCAAAACTGAAACTGTATAGGCATGAAGAAACCTGTATTTTCAGAAGAATTAATTATTTAAATTACTCCCCATTATATCCAGCTAATTCAGTTCAATAATCTCTTTTCATTTATTAAAAACTAGTTAATTCAGATTGGTAATCTCTGTTGTCATTTATTAAAACCCACCTAATTCAGTTCACTAATCTCTGTTGTCATTTGTTAAAGCCCACCTAATTCAGTTCAGTAATCTGTTGTCATTTATCAAGACTCGGCTACTTCAGTTCAGTA